GTGTACATGGGTAATATGAAGTATACAAGGCACTCAAATGTTATGACTGAGTACTGTTTGAGCAGTATTTTTTTTCGTTTTGACTTGTACTCTTCATAGCAGTGTCTCACTCATTCTAGTAAGTTTGCCACCACTGAATTAAAACTGTGATGATCATCATGTCATATAAAATGTAAAATACAGATGATGGTGATGGTGGTGGTGGTGATGATGATGATGATGATGATGGTGATGGCTAACACTTGTGGACCATTTGCTGTATACCAGGTACTCTTCTAAGCCTACACATTTATTATTAACTCATTTAATTCTCACAGTCATTCTATGATAGGTACCCTTGTTTTCCCCCACTTTACAGACTGGAAAAATGAGTCAGACTGATTAAGTACATTCCCCAAAGTCACAGAGCTAGCAAAGATTTGTTGATGTTAAATCAGAGGTTGTGAAGGGTATAACAATATTGAAGGCAGAAAATATGTGTAAAATAGTGTCATGCTAAAAGTAGAAGCTTAGTACTAACTTAATATTTGTTACTTTTTGACTATTGCGTTTTATATATAGTTCTTGTCTCCTATATTGTATTTCAAGCTTTTTTTGAAAGCAGACATATTAGAAGTCCCCGTAGTACATAAAAGGGTGCTAAGTAGTAGTACCAAAAATACAAGCTTGTATTGACATAGCACTATGTGCCAAGCATTTTTCTTAGTACTTTAAATATACTAATTCATTTCATCCTTATAAGAGTAGCAATTACTAATTATTATTACTAATATTCCTATTTTATGCATGAGAAATTAAAGCACAAAGAAATGTAGTAACTTTCCTAAGGTCAGACAGTTTGTAAGTGGCAAAGTCAGAATGAGAACCTAGCCAGTCTGGTCCAGATTCAGCATTTTTAACTATTATGCTCGCTATTCACTGAATGCTTGTGAGTGACTCAAGAATCTAATGAGAAATGTTTCATTAGAGAATAATATGATTTGAGGTATGATTTCTCCATGTGCTTATTTATCCAAGTTCCAGATTTATTCTCTTGGAAAAAAATCAGATAAGAACATAGTCTAGGTATTAGTAAATCATACTGAATAAATTAGAAAGTGCATTTGTAAAAATATACAATTCTCTGAGCCTGTAATTTCTTCTGAGACAATATTGTTCATTAATTAAAGTCAAATTATAAATTACTTTTGAGAATCACAGCCATATTTGCACTTGTTCAATATTGTTGTTTAAATGTTCTCCTTTAGATGCAATGTACACTTCATGTTAGTGAAAATAATCATGATTTAGAAGCATTCATATTTTTAAAGTATAGTTGCTGAAATAAACTTCCCAAACCAGGAATGACTATTTTACCCAAAATGATGACGATTTTCCCTCAGATATATTATTTTAAGCCAATATATATTTCATTTATTTCCTACAAAGTATTAATTCCATATTTCAGAAGAAAAGAAGGGATGATTATTTCAAATTAAAGCTTGATGAAAATTTCAAATAGAAAGCTTGCAGATTTGCCTGTGTTCTTCACAACTGTATCATTAAAGAAAAAGAAATGAGTGTTTAAAAATAATAACTACAATGACAAACTACACAGATAAACATGCAGCACTAAGAGCTATCTTTTGATCCCTTTTTTAGATGAGTCCATGCAAATGAGACAAAAATACATAAGAGATACCAGAATACATACTTCATTGTTTAAGACTTACTGAAGCACAAACAGATCTATTAATAAGGCATTGGAATCACATGAGGACATGAATCACTACTTC